ATCCAGCCAGCTAGGAAAAGCCCCACCTATGAGTGCATGAGGATTTTGGGAGGACATCTGGATATAATCCATAGCAGAAAAATTATAGAAAAATGGAAAAAATCTGTCAATATTACCTTCCTTGAGCATTGGTGCTCTGTATTTTTCAAAGATAACATGAATTGTATTTTATTTATTATTATACATGAAGCCGACTAAAGGAGCTTTTGCATTTTTAGGATCTTTGCCCTAAACTTGACTCTCCCTGCTAGGTAAATGCTCCCCATAAAGATCCACCTGGACTTGTCTGATATAAATTGATACACAAGGCCTGAACAACTTATCTCCACTTACAGAAGCCCCCCCACCGCACCTACCCAAAGGTTATCCCTGAGAAGAAGCATACAAAAAACTTGGGATGAAACACCCAAAGATAGACATTCAAGCACAGGTGAGAATGTGTGCAGGTTAACTGAGCCAAGGAGCTCCACTTATCTTGTTTAAGAAACAGAAAGTGGACGGGGATTTAGCTCAGCGGTTCGGTGGCCTGCCTTGCAAGCGCAAGGACCTGAGTTCAATCCCTGGTACCAAAAAAAAGAAACAGAAAGTAACATACTTCAGACTGACTTGCTAATGACTGTATTCAATGAAGAATCTGAAGATCCCTGATCCCTGGCCCTGGGCATGGTACAGAGTAAGACTCCACCTTCTTTCTTAGTCTTGGAAACAGAATGCAGAGGGAATGATAGAGATATCTAAAGGAACATTGCCTGCTGGGGTGATGAAGGCACTGAAAGCATCTCATTTCAGTAAGAGAAGTTTGGCTGTTTGGGGAATGACACAACGGTTGAGAAAATCCTGAGCCTTAGCATTTTATCTCACCAAGGAGAATTAGGATTTAAGATGGAAACTTTTAGAAAGCAGACTCCCTTTTCCCACAACCGAGAGGCTTCTGCCTGATGAAAGATGGACTTTCCAAGGAGCAGCAATGCCCTCAGCCCTGGAGGACGTCAAGAACAAGCTGGGTTGAGGCTCAATGGAAGAGTGTGCGCTGAGGCCTTGGGTACAACTTCCAGCCCCGAAAAATTAAAGAACAATCTTACACAACTCATTGAGGGTGCTGCAGAGGTAAAAACATCCGAATATGGATCTGACCTTCAAACCCATTCAACCCTGAGATGATGAAAGTCCATGGGTAATTCCACAATTTAGTCTCAAGTAAAGAAGGAGAGGAGAAGACTCTATATTGGAGAGCACTTTTTAAATACAATAAAATTTACATATGAGTTCAAATCATTTCTTCCTTTTAAAAGGTCCAAAGTTATCATAATATTGTTAATAAAAATGTAATCATTTATTTCATTCTTCAAAGTAGCTGTTACTAGGGACGGGGATTTAGCTCAGAGGTTCTACTGCCTGCCTTGCAAGTGCAAGGACCTGAGTTCAATCCCCGATACCAAAAAAAACAAACAAACAAACAAACAAAAAAAGTAGCTGTTGCTAAAATGGACATACATATGTCTATTTCTTACTAACTTCATAATAAATTTAAAAATATAGTCCTTTGCGTAGGAGGAGGAAATATAATTCCCAGAAACAATCAAATCTCACTTAGAACATGGTGGCACACATCTATAATTCCAGATCCTTGGGAGGCTGGGGCAGGAGGATTGCTAGTTCAAAGCCAGCCTGGACAACTCGGCAAAAACCTTATTCCAAAATAAAGTATGTAAAAGACCTGGGCCGGGGGGACTAACTCAGTGGTGGAGCACTTTCCTAACATATACAAGGTCCTGGATTTCATCCACAATACCACAAAAATAAATAAATAAATAAATAAATAAATAAATAAATAAATAAATAAATAAATATGCCGGGGATTTAGCTCAGGGGTTCTGCTGCCTGCCTTGCAAGCGCAAGGACCCAAGTTTGATCCCTGGTACCAAAATAAATAAATAAATAAATAAGTCTCACAGAGCAGTTCAAAAGGCTTTAACAGTATATATCCAAAGGGAAATGGTATTTGCTGTATCCAACAAACTCTGACTTCCCCACTGCCATATGTTAATGGCTGAGCTTACAGTGGGGGACATTTGTGTCATTAGAGGAACTGAGAAGTGACTATCAAAAAGAAGCTGAGGCCCACATGTGGAGGCAGGGATGAAGACCACAGGGACAGTGGCAGGCTCAGTGCCATGTTGGAGAGCTTAGGAAATAATAGTCCTGTGAACTGAGATGAGCAGGAAAGGCTCCTTCCTTAGCTCTAAGACTTCTCAAAACTGTTAGGAAAATTGTAAGACTGATGGAGTGAGAAATCATCAGACAGCAAAGCTGGAAAAGAATTTCGACTGGAAGTAGCACTGGCTGTCAGAACTCTAAAGAGCCTTCATTTCTCTAAGTTTCGTCCATCAGTGTGCATTCCATCAGTGTGCGTTAGGAGGGACTAAAACTGAAAATCCTGAACACAAGAATGCATTTCCTTGATTATCACACCTTATGTGGCCCATAGAAAATGCCATCCTGTCCTCAAGACAATATGAATTAAAAAAGGTCATGTACATGGTGCATACCTTTAGTCCCAGCTACCCAGAAGACTGAGACAGAAAGATTGCTTGAACCCATAAGCTTGAGGCCAGCTTGGGCGACATAGTGAGACTATGTCCAAAAAGCAAAAGAATTTAAAATACAAGTAGCTTTGTAGTATTATTACAAAAGTAATTTTGACCTCAAAAAGTGACCCTAAAAGTTTCTCGAGTACCCCCAAGCATCTCTGAACACAAAGCTCTTTGAGAAGCACTGATATAGACCAAACCCTGAGTTTTATGGAGTCTCCTCAAGGGCCGCCAGCTTGCATTTGTCAAGAGAAGAGACTAGTAGGCAGGCTGTGACTTCCCATCCTTCTGCTATTGGAGAAACATACTTTAAAATTTTTTCTTAGTATTTTATATACATTCACATTTCACATGATGATGTCTCCATCAACACCACATATGCAGCAGAGGTCACATAGATTGTACCATCTGGTGAGGTGCACTTCTAGGTGTACAAATACTCTATCGCCGCCACATAGCAACAAAGGCCCCCGAGAAGGCATCAGAATGTAAGCAGCACACACACTTGCCACCTTCCAGGGCCATCTTCCTTTGAATATGGGATTCTATGGGGGAAAAAAAAGCACAGTTTTTAAACCACTGCTAGAATGTGTATTGTGTGGCCCAGTGCATAATAGAGAAAAGAAACCTGAGAGTTGGAAAGATATGGTCTTCATTTTTTAAAGGAGGGAAATGTTTTAGTTTAAAATCTATATTTTAGTTATAAGTATAATATACACTTAGTTTAAGATCTACATTTTAGTTATAAGTATAATATACACGTTTTTCTTACAAAAGTCTGAAAAGTTTTCAAGTGAAGAAAAATTCATAAAATATATACTAGCCAAGAATATATATCACAACGTATGTAGCACACTGTTTTTTAAGTAAATGTACTTATTCAGAACTCACTCACTGAATAGCTACCTGAGTGAGGTTCAGCCTAATGCTGGGGTTCAAACCCACAGCTCACACCTGCTGAGCAAGTACCCTACAACTGCACCCATATGTGCCCTCTACTTTTTCAAAAATTGGTGCATTTGTTCCAGAGGTTACCAGAGCAGAAGAGGGGTAACAAGAAGGGGTGGTGTCTGCAGCCCCTTGGGGGTGCTGGGTGGACGCCCAGCGCTCTGCTGTGGCAGTTTTATCTCCTTTCAGGGAAGCTGAAAAACTGGACTCTATCTTTAGGTCATGCACTGAGATACTGAATTACAGGACAGATCCCAAGGGCCCTGGGCTTGGTACCCAGAAGGTTCAAGCAAGCCTCCTAATGACTTCTGCTTAGTATAAAGAAAATCGAGCTATGAACATGAAAAGGTTTGGGAACTAAAAATGCTAATGATTACACCAGGTTATTTTTTTAGCTTTTTTTTTTATGTGTACAGAAATGTACACATAAGTCTAGGCCCATCCAGAGACAGAGATGGGCCATTCCTCATCTTCTGTCTGTCTCCTCAAAGTCCCTACCTATCCCCTTTGGGCAACTGCTCTTTGGCTTCTCCGAGCACAGGTTGCTTTTGCTGTTCCCGTGCTTTGCAATAGCAGAAGCGTGCCGGGTAGACTCTCACTTATGCCTGCCTCCTTCCACTCCACACTGAGATTCAACCAGATTGCAGATGTACATACAGGCCGTCCCTTCTCCGCGCTACACACCACTCACCACACAGTGGGAATGTCTCAGTTTATGTGCCCGTTCTACAGTTGAGGAAGTTGAGTCATTTCGTATGTAGGCTTTTTATCCATAGAAAAGTCAAGGAAGGTTTGCAGATAAAGTCACCATCCCCTTTCCAGTTTAAATGTGTCCAAAGGAACTTTTCGTTTTCTTTCCATTCAGTCTGAGAACTGATCTGACTATAAATTTAGCATTCATAATTTTCACTAAGAATCAAGAAAGGAAAAGGGGTTAATGTTGGCAACTTGCTCTAGTGAACTGTTTTCCTAATTCCAAAGAAACTGATCTGGCCCTTGGTGGTGATCGTGTATCAAAGGAAAGATCATGCTCTGTGTTTCTTTCTGGCCCTGTGACAGTGTCCCACACCCAGGGGGTGCTAATGTGTTTGGTTTTGGCACACAGAGCAGGTGGTGGGTGGAAGGGGAAACAGCACTCAGACAGGATCTAAAAAAAGGGGAGAGGCCCATGAAATTACCACTTTAGAAAATAAAATGATGTTTATGCACAGAACAACACAATTTCTGATTCGCACATCCCACCTCTGACATTAATCAGAGCCTTCACCTATGTGCTCTATTCTATGTCATCTTTTCCACCCCTAGTGTAGTTTACAGACTTTCTTACTTTGAAGTACAAGCAGGGGAAAAAGAGAGAGAACTGTCGCTGCCCTAAAAGGAATGAGGAAGTGAGAGAGCTGCGCAGCGTTTGGCCGGCTCTGTCTGTGTGACGGCCCATGATGGTCTTTCCGGTCCCAGTAATGTTCTGAATTTCCACCTGCCCGCCCCAGCCGCTTATAGTGCACAGCACATGAAGTTAAAGCTGCTCAGTGTCCCTCTCTCTGCCCGTGGATTAGTAGGAGCAGAGTGTCATGCTGTGTCTGCCGTTTCCCCCAGTTCACCAGAAGTAGAGGAACTCTGGCTAGAGACCCCCAAGGGTAAGTACCACAGATTAACAACAGGACTAGAAAATACGCAGCTGGGAGCAGCTACGTCAAGGGATATGTGGTAGTGTTTAACTCCGAACACAGAATGCTTGACTGCAACACGAAGGCTGCACTTCTTTAAATGTAGGGATTCTATAAATATTGTCTCTGCTTTAAGTTTCTGTCGTGGGAATAAATAGTATCACGGCAATACATTTTTTCTTCTTTCTTGAGTTCAATGCAAACATCTATGCAGAGCACTTAACGCAGTACTCGTGAGCACTTCAAGGAATTGTTAGTTGTTATTGTGAATGACATTTAGATTATCTCTTGAAAGGGAATGTCATGATGAATAACAAAGTTAGGATGGTAAAGACATCTATCTTAAAGCATTTAAAAATTAAATGTGCCTAGGAATTTGTTTCTTAATAAGCAGATAACATTTGGTAACAGACTCATTTTAAATGAAAACTTTTCTGATAGGGTTTTGGCAGAGTGGTACCAAAATTGGCCAACTTATTCTGTTGGCTGATTATTCCGTCTCTTAACTCTTTTCTGTATGATTTGTGGCAGACAGAGTCAGAGCTCCCCAGGAACGAGACTCAGCCCTGGACAGGCAACCGCAACACCAATGAAGTTGATAAGCAGCTTCGATGCTGTATGTGACCTTTTACATTTATACTCACTCACATTTTCTAGAGGCAAAAGCCAAAGACAGTTACTTAATTTTATTTTTTTTTCCTCTTTTAGCCCAAAACACTAAATGCCAATAATATGGAGACTTTGGTCAAATGTCAGTCAGAGGTAAGAAAAGTTTTTTAAAACTTTTTATTTGCACTGTGAGAAAATGGAAAGTTTTCTATTTTAATTGAATGTTATTTGGCTTAATTATCAGAGTAGAAAATGAACATCATAAATGCAGTATAGTAACATGAATAAAAGGCTATGTGTGTATTTCGTAAAGAAGACTGGACAGGTTTTTGTGATTGTTTTAACTGAAATAAATATATTTTCAGGGTGACATCAAGGAACATCCCCTGTTGGCATCCTGTGAGAGTAAAGACAGTATCTGCCAGCTAATTGGTGAGTTTTGAAAACATCCCGATCTTTTTTGTAAGTGCTAATAACCAGTGTTCTTGGTTTACAGAGCCACAGCACTTTTACTCAACTAGAAATTTGTTTCTGTGCTCTGGTGTGGACCGCAGAGCATTAACACTGAACTGACAGGCGGGCTCCTGCTTGCTGGCGTAGGGAGCACTGTCAGAGCAAAGACCCTGCCATGGCCTCCTGGCCATCTATGCTTCGCTTGTGTGCATTTGAAAAATAGACAGTGCCTTCTCCAATTTCTTCCTTCTCTAATGGAGACTGCATCTACGAATCCACAAAGCAATTGTTGTTGATCTCAAACCCCAAAGAACCTACCGTTTGCTCTTACATTTTTTCATAATAGATTTCCTTATAGCGTAACCATGACCTGGGGCTCCTGAGGCATCAGGACAGGCCGCTTCACTCTCATTCTTCTTCCGCTTGCTAGTATAAATGTGTAGGAGCATAGGCCAATCATTTAGAAAGCACAGCTTTTATAATTAGGGAAAAAAGAGAGAAAGGAAAGGAGGGAGGGAGGGACGGTGGGAGGGATGCAATCCCCATTGCAGACATGTCTCCCGGATTTTAGAAGAATAGACTACTTGTTAACAGGTTACTTAATAACTCCAAATTGTTAGATCCAGGATGCAGCCTTCCTGCAGCAATCTGAGGCCTGTCCTATAACAGCAGCAGGGAAAAGCGGGAGACTGCAGGTGCATGGGTGACAGCTCCCTCCAGTGGCCGCCTAGAGCTAGCGCGCTGCAAACGGTTGGTGGCCCGCCCGGCTGAGCCCGCCCACAAAGGGATCTTGAGCAAGTCACTTCCTCTCTATAAACTTTCGTTATTGTCACCAATCAAAGGAAGATATTAAAATAATCCACTTAACCAGAAATACCCCTTGTAGTTATTAAGGCCAATGTGTTAAGATGGTTTTTTTTTACTCTCACAGTTAGGTTTTGTTATTTTCTGTAGTAAATAGCTAGTGAAGAGAAAAACAGGAAAGGTGCGGCCTTTGAGGAACCCTAGTGTTGATGTTGAGGGGCTGGTTGCCTTGATAACAGCGTGGTTGTTTTGGGGTTGGTTTTTCTAGATCAAGAGTCATGCCTCTTGCTTTCTTGGTTTTTCAAAATTATTTCTCCCATGAGGCATACTCTAGGTGACATGATGTGACCAGCAACACCATTTTCTTACGTGAAATCTTTGCTTAGTGCCATTGTGGTCTGACTTTTCTCTTTCCCTTGTTTTCTTGGCTGTAGAAGTTAAGAAGAGAAAGACGGGGCGGCCCTGGCCCTTTCTCACAAGAAAGCTCTCCCCTGCCTCAGATTTCTCTGAGGCTTTGGAGCCTGAGTTGAAAGTGCCACTGTTTGATCAGCCTTTGTCAGCGATCTGCACTGAGGACGGCACACTGCCTAGACCCATTCAGGTAAGTGTGCATCTGCCTGTGAGCCTACTTCACTTTCTTATTGGAGGTGAAAGAAAAAAATCCTTGGGAACCTGAGTGTGATTCTCATACTAAACTCACCGGGGCTGGCAAGATCTTCCACTCTTGCAAATATGGTCTCACATCCAAGTGCAGTCAGGCGGATATCTGCCTGCCAACATTCTAGAAAGTAGGTGTATTTGTCAATGAGCTGAGAGTGATGGTTCCTCCCAAATGCTCTGACTCCACAGAGGTAAGAAGACTGAAAATCTGTAGCTTCAAAAGGTCAACGGGTAGAGGAAGCGTATAGAAAATATAAGGTAGAAAAAAAAAAGAAAATATCAGGTAGAGATACAGTATAGTGTTTCCATGGAAGTATTTGAAAAGAGGGAGGCCCCATAGTAATTTTAGAGTGTACAGAATTAGCACTTTCAGGCTGGGGATTTAGCTCAGCGGTTCGGTGGCCTGCCTTGCAAGCACAAGGACCCGAGTTCAATCCCTGGTACCAAAAAAAAAAAAGAATTAGCACTTTCACAGTCTACCTCCTCCTAGAGACATGGGAGGGTGAAGGGAGACAGTTGCTAACAATTGAATTGGAAGGCAATACAGTGTCAGTACTCTTCATAAGACCCTTTTAATGTGCTGGGCATGGTGGTGCACACCTATAATCCCACCACTCTGGGAAGCTGAGGAGGATTGCAAGTTTGAGCCCAACCTGGGAAATTTAGCAACTTAGCAGTACCTTATCTCAAATTTTTTTAAAAATTATGAAAGTCTGGGGATGTAGCTCAGTGTGCCAAGAAGGAGAAAAAAAAGAATATTTCAATATAACAAAGAGAACTAGCATTTCTGGGGAAGACATTTGATGACAGATGAAGTTAGGAACTGTTCATATAAATTATTTTAATTCTCATTCTCCAGGCTACACCTAGATTTTCATGTTTTTGTTTCCAGAAAAGCTAGGTAGGTGTCTCAAAGCCATGGGTCACCATTCCTGCTCTTTATCTGTTCCCACAGGACATCCTCGCTATTCTGTGCCTTAAAGGGCCTTCAACCGAAGGAATATTCAGGAAAGCAGCCAGTGAGAAAGCCCGAAAAGAGCTGAAGGAGGAGCTGAATTGCAGGGACCGGGTGGACCTGGAGAGGCTCCCCGTGCACCTGCTGGCCGTGGTCCTGAAGGTGAGCCTGGGGCATGTGACACAGTGGCCAACAGGCTCACACACTTTCTTGGGAACAAGGAGTGGACCCCTCTCCCTGCAAGGCAGCATCAGCTCATGTTGGAGTTTAGTTTTTTGTTTTTGTTTTTGTTTTTTTAGTGAAGACTTTTAGTTATTTAAAGAAGCACTTCTGTTTCAGTGTTCCTAGATTTCAACAAAGTTCGCCCAAAAATTTCATGACAAAAAACACTTTGATTGTCTCATGCTCAAGTCAGTAGTCCTAAATCTGGCTCCCCCAGACTTCACTCACCTGGGAATGGCGCCTCTTACTCTGCCTGTTGCCAGGAAGTTCCTAAGACACAGTACAAGTCTGAAAGACGTCCCCTCAGACTAGCCAAAGGGTAGGGCAGTCCATGGCAGGGAAGGCACTAGAACACTGAAAGGGAGCAAAAGCAAAAGGAAAGCAGGAATAGGCACAGGATGAAGTGAAGGAAGCCAACGACTCCCCTTTCCTCTCTAAGGACTTCCTCCGAAGCATCCCCCTTAAACTACTCTCATGCGACCTCTTTGAGGAGTGGATGGGCGCCTTGGAGAAGCAGGATGAAGAGGACAGAATTGAGGCCCTGAAGCAGTAAGTCCTCGAGTCATTTCAGGAGACCAAGACCGAGTCTCCATCTTCTCCTCCTTTGCAAAACTGTCAAAGCGCTTCTTGATTCATGTGTCCCAGAAATGGTGACATGCAGGGAAGGCATCTACATGAACTGTTCACCCAGTCCCAGAATAAAAACTAGGAGATGCCCAGGACCTTTAAAAGTAGTTTTAGTCATGAAAAAGGCACTTCTTCAAAAATGGGAAAGTCAGTTTTAATACTCACAAATCCTAAGAGGTGATGGGAAGTTGGGGGGAAGGCTAAATACAGGGAGTTCAACAAGGCTTGAGAAAAAACAATCATACCTGAACACTTTCACACAGGTGAACCAGGAGGGTGTGAGAATGTTAATTATCCTTAACCTATACTGTCTGGTGTCATTCAAGGCAACAATTCTCCCATAAAACATCCCCTATTGCAATTTGGAAGGAATTATTTTGTTCATAAAATTCCATAGCATATTCTATATCCTTATAATTAAATAAATGAAAACTATGTAAACACAAATTCCAGTAAACAACAGTAATTACATATATAAATGAAAGTTTGACCTATTAATGATTAGTGAATCCTAAATTCATAACTTTAAAATGCCAGTGCTTTTGCCACATCCTAAAAAAATTTGTCGATATAATTGTCCCCCATGACTAAATATTTTAGGTGATATATTTGTAGACGTGAAGACAACAGTGTCCTCTCAAAAAAAAATCCTAAAATTATTACAATAAGTTTCTTTTTTTTCCCCCCCTTTGACCTTCTTTTTTTTTTTCAGCTTTAATTGAGTTTATTGGTACATTTTAGGGATACAGTACAGTTACATTCATTGTTGGGATCTTGTACCGCTACATGACAAGTCTTGATTCTCATTTTTTCCCCTTACCTCTGCCCTCCCTTCACCCCCTCCTCCCCTCCCCATCTACAAACACTTTATTTTCATCTTTTCATTCTCTCACATTTTTTTCTTTTCCCTTTTTACTCTTCCCCTACCCATCCCACCTTCCCTACACCTTTAGCTCCTCCATATTGAAGATACACTCCTAAGTGAAATAAATAAGTCACACATGTGTAAATACCGAATAGTTTCCCTGGTGTAAATAATCTGCAACAATGCATAAGATTCTAATAAGATTACTGACATTTCCAATAAGTTTCTAACTACATTCTTCTACATCAATAATTTCAAGAAATAAAAAAGATCCCTTACTATATTGGAGTGCCTGTTTAATTTTTTGAGAAAGTGAGACTTTTAAAAACTCAGATTAGCCAGGTATGGTGGTGCACAACTGTAATACCAGAACTCAGAAGGCAGAGGCAGGAGGATGCCATGCGTTTGAAGCCAGCCTGATTACATAGTGAACTCAAGACCTGCCTGAACTACATAGTGAGAACCTATCTCAAAATAAATAAATAAATAAATAAATACTCAAATTTATTATCATTAGTAATAATATTGGTATTTAAGTGCTACCTTGACTGTATTTGTGAACATGCCTTTACACGCTGATTTATTCTCTGTAAAAATTTCTCAGAGTGGCAAAATATTAGGTCATGATTATTTGGTGATCACAGTTCAAAAAAAAAGGCAAGAAAACCAGTCTTGTGGTCTTCAAAACAGAATTTCTGGGAAAAAAAAGCAGAATTTCTGCAAGTTAAATGACTACTCAATAAAATGATTTTCAAAATGTAAAGGCAAATTCTGGTATCTGATTCAAGCTCTGATTTATACTTTTAGAGTCACATAAGTAAGAAGTAAGAAAAGGCAGTGTTACTGGTGCCCCAGATATAAAGACCTTGTGGCTAACCAGTCTCACTCTGTGTCATTGGCCACTGAAGTGTCTAAACAATATTTCACATAATTGTGAAAATGCTCCTTCCGCATTTCAAAGGAAGTCTGGTTTTGGCAGAAACTTCCAACAGACTGTGTGCAAGCTAGATAGACTATTGTTCCCCTCGAAACTGAGATCCCTTTCCTTTATTCCAGGGTTGTAGGTCAGCTCCCCCAGCCCAACATCCTGCTGCTCAAACACTTGGTCTCCGTGCTGCACCTGATCAGCAAGAACGCAGAAGTCAACAAGATGGACTCCAGCAACCTGGCCATCTGCATTGGACCCAACATGCTCACCCTAGAGAATGACCAGAACTTGTCATTTGAGGCACAGAAAGACTTGAACAATAAGGTTTGTTCTGTTTATTTATGAAAAACTCTCAATTTGTGATCTCATCATCTGTTTTCGAAAGCTCAAGCAATGAAATACTTCTGAATTTCTCAAAGTGACTCATAGTAGCAGTGAAAATCTAAAATGCAGACTGTTTTTGTCATGGCTCCACTTTCTTAGATAATGCACTGATGAAGCAGAACAAATCTATGTATTCTGTCATCCTAGGAGAGAGAAGACATGTTTTTATATCCTTATTTCCCTGGATAGAAAAGCCTATTTTCCCTTCTGGGTGCTACTTGCTGCCATCCCAGCAATCAAAGTGGAAAACAGTTTGCGTCAATGAAAAATTCAGTTACTTTAAAGTAAAAATTTTTAAATCTTTGTTTTAAAATGCCTGTCTCAAGAAAAGCAAATAATATCTAACTTTAATATATTTTGTATCAAATTTCTATATGCTGTTTTCAGAGACATAAAAATCTCCAGTTCTCTTGGAACCTCCTGAATAGTTGACCCCCAATATGTCCTCATTCTTTGCCCCCCAAATGTTCTTAAGCTTACAACCTGCTTCTTTTTCCTCATAGGTGAAGACATTGGTGGAATTTCTCATTGACAACTGTTTTGAAATATTTGGGGAGAATATTCCGGCTCATTCCAACACCCATATTGTTTCTGATGACTCCCTGGAACACACTGACAGTTCAGGTACATAACGTGCTATCATTTGATTACATGATTCAGAAGAGAAGTTCCTGACAGTCAGCCAGTCCATGTTAGTAATGTAAAGCATCCCTAAGGTTTGAAATAGAAGCCACCCTCACCATCACCAAGCCAAACTAGACTCTGTAAGGAAGTTGCTGAACATGAAAATTTGGCCCTAGAATTTTGCCAAAGCACTTCCTCGGACTGTGGACACTTGTTTGATGTCTGTCTAGAACTTTTTCCTTCTTATTCTAAATCACAAATAACTGCTAATTACTATGTAACCATACCTATAGAGTTAGGGTAAGAAATTTTTATTTCTAAGTAGTGAAATATGAGTCCATTAAAATGGAAGTCAATTCAATAAAAGAGCATCCAAAAAAATCAATTTTAAGATTTGAGATCCATAAATTTTCAGGGACTATTGCTTCCCCTCCTCTTCCTCTTTCTCTTCCTTCTCCTCTTCTTCTTCTCTGTCTCTCCCTCCTTTTTTGACCTCCTCCATCCCTCATTCATTTCCTTTTCCTACTTTCTTCTCATCTCAAGATGAATTTGGAGAGAAATAAAATTTAATATGGAAAATTTCTTATTATATCAAGCCCAGTGGGGTCCCACAAAATCACCTGGAGTCATAAGTGGCATAAATAAGATGACCTCTAATGTTATCTCTAAAAAAACTTAACAAAAAGTTCAACTGTTTCTTAACTTTTCCCAGATGTGTCAACCCTGCAGAATGACTCGGCCTATGACAGCAATGATCCAGATGTTGAACCCACCAGTGCCCACCACTCCCCCAGCAGGCAGCCCCAGGTAACCATCCCTGTGGCTGCTGGTTTGGACAACAAGGAGCGACAGGATACCTGTGAGTTAAGCTGGCAGCCCATTGTTAGCACAGTAGCCAGGCTGAAAAGCTCCCTCAGCCAACGGGCAGACAGGAGATTCTCAGAACCCAGTAGGCCACCCCCACAGGAGTGCGAGAGCCGGATGACAAACCAAAAACTAACAAAAAGTGAGGACAACTTCACCATGGCCCAGGCAGGCTCTTGTTTTGAAAATGAGAAAGCTGGAGATCCATTTCCAGAGGAGGTGTTCTCTGCAGTAGAAGGCAAAAGCAAGAGACCGATGGACCTGAGGATTAAGAACCTGACCCAGGGTTTGGCATTGCCACAGGGAGTGGTACCCAAAGCCCTTTCCAGTGGCTCCCCAGATGGGTCCTCTGATTGCTCACCTATCAATTCTCCTTCCTGCCCCAAAAGAAATTTCTTCACCAGACATCAGTCTTTCACCACAAAGACTGACAAAAGCAAGTCAAACAGAGAAATTAAAAAACACTCCATGTCATTCTCTTTTGCCTCTCACAAAAAAGTACTGCCCATAGCATCCAGCCTTGGATCTGGGAAATCAAAAGACCTTACCAGAGACCAAGTCAAGAAGAGTCTGAGGAAAGAAAGCCAGTTAGCTGGCCGGATTGTCCAGGAAAATGGGTCTGACCTTCACAGCCAAACAGCTCTAGGCTTTGGTTTGCCATCCAGGGCCTTCTCGGGTGACGATGTGTTCCAACAAGTTGAAGGCATGAGCCCTGGAAGCCCACCATCTTATGAGGAGGCCATTCAGTGCCAGGCATTGGGACTCGGGGCCTGTAGTGGCCAGACAGTTGGAAGTATGAGGGCAAGAATGCTCAGCCAGGACTCCACACTGTCATCTCTTCTGCCTTCTTACCACAGAGGGGACTCAAGGAGCAGCTGCAGTGTGGAGACACTTAGTGGACACAGACTGTCTTCCATGGCTGAGTACTGGAGGCAGAGCAGGACTGTCAGTGACTCTGTGGAGGCTCAAGGGCATGTGACTGTACCAGGAAGGCCTGGACTTCGGCTGAGGACCATGTCTGAGTCTCTACAGAAGGATAAACAGGACTGTCTAGGTCAACGGTGTAGCCAGCCAATCTTTGAGGCTGACCAACTCCACTGTGTTAAAGAATCCTACATTTAGGAAGGGATGCACCATGACTAATCGTGGTGTCTCTGTATATATATATATGACTGTATAAAAACCTGTGTGTAGATTTTTTTTTAAGTCATGAATAAGCTAGTTTTGAACATTGTACAGAGTCCTACTCCATAAGGACAGCTACATGGTCTGCATCAGATAGTCTCTGTGTGTACCTGGATTAGTGCAATACTTACCAATATAAAACGTGTATTATACACAAGGTGTTACGTGCAAAAGTGCCTGCATAAATTCTCGCATACATTTGTTTGTGTACTTGTGCACTTGTGATGCACTGCTGTTCTTTGGTCCCTGGGGCATTTCTCCCATTGGCTACTGTTTAAAAATCATTTTTGCTCTTTTTAATGTTGCTTTCAAAATCATGTCAATTTTTCTACAAGTTCTATTTAAGGGAAAATCTTTAAATCTCTGGTATAAGTTTACTCTACTAAACAAGTGTGAGGTAATTATATAGTGTAGAAGAAAGAAATAGACTGCAAGAAATAGAGTTCAGTGTTTGGGGTTGTCAGTGGCATTAGAAGGAGAAAAATGACAACAAAATTGTGAGAAGTATTTGAGTATGTCCTTTCAAACATCTAATTAAATTTGGAAATGCATTATATCAATATTAAGTCATTTAGTGCACTTTGAGTTTCTGTGTAATTCAATGGTGTCTTGTGCTATAGCATAGAGGTAAATGATTTCATGTACACTGTGTGTCATATATAAAACTTCAATGTAATTTCACTACACTGAATTGCCTTCCTTATTTGAAAATAAAAATGTTCATTCCTTGACATGGTACCATCTTTTCCTTGGTTAATAGAAATCCAAGAAAATTAATCACACACAGGTTCACTCAACAAGCGTTTATTGACTATATATGCATCATTCCAGACTAATAGGCAAGCCTAGAAATCTTGTGTTTAGGAAGAAGAGGTCCCTATTCTCTGGGAGTTTGTAAAATCATTTTTAAAAAGTGCCCACTTTAAGCTACTTTTTTCAGCAAGGAGTCATTTAGAAGCCAGAAAAATTTAGTATGTCAAATACAGAATAATATAGTGAATGTAATAATTCCCACTTCTAGTGAATTAGGCTGTTCAGTACTTTTATGCATACATATCTTTCTTCGTTTTATGACATTCAATTTGCTTAATTATTAGTAATCACAGTGATAAAACGTTGGTGAAATATTGGAATTTTACTGACCAGTGATTAGTATATTTATCCAATATCTTAGAATTGAAGGACTTCAATTTTCCTCATTTTTATTTTTTTTCATAAAATACAGCTACTGATCTGTTACAAAAATATTTTTTCATTAGCTACCTACCAGATAATGAAGACTTACTCTTTTCCGAGGTGATTTATTAATAGTGTTGTACAAACTTATTTGCTCTGTAAACCAGATTGCTCACAGAAGTGTGCTTAGACCTGATATCAAAAATATTCCATTAAGCATCAATAATACATAAATTTCAAGGAGTAAATCCTCTTCTTCTGGCTACTAAATGAAGAAAGACAATCCTTTTCAGGGTTGAGCACTAATAGAGGTACAATTTTAGCATCTACTTATGCACCAAGCACTGTGCTAAAATCTCACTGGACATCATCTACCCTCTACGTGTGTGTGTGTTTCCAAAGTCCCCCTTCTTATAAGGACACTGGCTATAGTGGATTAGATCCAACTCTAATGACCTCATAAAAGACTCTATTTCCATATATAGTAACCTCCAGAGGCACTGGGAATTTTTGTGGTGGTGATGGTGGTGGATCCAATTGATCCTGCAACACCAAGTTTTGCAAATTAGCATTTAATGATATTTTATTACACCAAAATTTTTTAATATTTTACCATAAGCACAAGGTATTCCAGTGAAATTCGGATGGTGTTACCACAATGCTTTTGTCCAGGATCCAAGAACATCAGAGTTCTGTCATCCAAAGGTGTCCTAAGGGGCCTGTACAGTGACAAATGGGATAATCATAAATGTGCCGGGTGCCCGATTACAAGGTGCCTGGTAATATCAGGTTGAAAGTCAAGGCCCACACCAAGACCTAAGCTAAATCCAGGTTTAATTTCCTGGGAAATTTTCTTTCCTCCTATAAAGAGAGAAAAGGCTATTGTTGACACAGTGCACTATGACTACCTACAGTGACTCACTCTGCCCCACCCCCAGCACTACCCAGGACTGAAAGAAATCAAAGCTTGATTTAGAAATGTTGACTTGGGGAAGTTAACCAAAGCTAGGTTTATCTCCAACCATCTCAAAGCTCAAACCTAGAAAAAAACTGCAGCGGTTCTGCCCTGGGTCCCACAGGAGTTAAGTAGCAGCAAGGGTTTACAATAATAAGTCAGAGTAATGGCCACAGTTCTTTCAGAGATGGCCAGAGATGAGGATGTCCAGAGAGCTGTTATAAACGTTGTTTATTCTAATGCATGACTAAAAGAATAAATAGATGAATATTCCTGACTGTGATCTCCTGGGAAGAACCATCAGTACATACTTCCCTCCTAAAGGGCCAATCACACAGAAACCCACATGAGATGAGATCCTGCGTAGCTGGAGTTCTTTTGGAACTGAATTACATAATCTTAATTCTTCATCTGCAAAAAGAGAGTTACTTAGGAGTCAGAAGTTTATGCATTTGTGCCAGAGATGAAAGTGAATCGCTTTCTAGCAATATTTCAAATATGGATTGAGATCCTGCATTTTGTCCACTCTAGAATACAAATTAAGGGTAAGTGAGAAAAAAATTGATGGAATGAAGTACTATTCTCCTCCTATGGCAAGTCATAAAGTGGGAGGCATTGTAAAACAAGCAAACTTGCAGATGCAAAATCGTGCCAGTAAAAGGAAATACAGAATGTTATCATCTCTATAGGACAAGAAAGACAACAAGTTGATACAGAGTCTGTGACCCATATTTACAGAACCTGAGCTTTTGAACACCCCAAAATCTGTTCCCATGAACAAGGCACTGAACCTGTCAAGCAGCAGTTTCTCCATCTCTGAAATGAAAAAATAATATGCATCCATTGAGAATGTGTATAACAGACAACCTAGACATGGGGCTTACATAAGAAGGAGGTGCGTGCTCTCTACTAAAAGAAAAGCAGGTAGCTGGGCATGGGATGCATCTGTAATCACAGCACTTAAGAGGCTGAGGCAGCAGGATCAACATCAGTTTGAGGACACAGTGAGTTAAAGGCCAGCCTGAACTACATAGTCAGACCTTGTCTCAAAAAACTAAAAAAAAAGAAAAGAAAAACAGGTAGACTGGGAGTACAGGGCCCAAATGGAGGCTCCACAACAGCCTCACGGCCCAGATTCCTTCGCACTCAGAGATAGCTTCAGGTTATTTCCCATAGCTTTGTTTGTTATATTATTTTTCTCCTCAAAGTAGTTAAATACCCTGTGCAGATTCAGATTCACAGAGAAAAATAAGTTTAATTTCTCAAGGTGGCATTTTAGTACTCAAGAACCAGTGCTTTCAGAAATAGAACTTACATAATTCAATACACTTCACTATTAGAAAGTGTGAAAATGAAATTATTTAACTTTGTTTAAACAGTAAAAGCTGGTGAATTTATGATATAACCGGAGCTCATCTCTTGAATTATCTTTAATTTTTTTCTTATAGTGAAATCTTAACATTAATGTCAAACATAATGTTACAACAGTTTAGCATGTAATTTTTAAATTTTTGGAGAAAAAGATAAAACACCAACCTAGCTTTTAAGCTCAATAAAAACTATAGAAATAAATATAGAATACACATGAAATAAAAATACTAAAAATTATAAGCTGGAATGTTGACAAATTTACAGGCTAATTCCAAAAGCATTAGCTCAACACATTTTGTACATTTTCTGATTCTCCTTAAATTCTGTACATCATTTTAGTCAAGTTACATAATTTAGTTTCCTTTATGTTTGCTGTACTCACAGGACATGATAGGAAGCTACATATCCAAAGCTTCTTGCTCGTGTCCCTTAATAATATATGTTATTTGACCTTTCCACCGTAATATGTTTTATTCTCTGTTTTGATTCATATTGATTTTGTCTGCAACTAGGGAAGGGAAAGGAAAATGAGAAGGCTATTTTAAAACATTGTATTATATTCTCAGAACACATTGAAATATATATCATCTAAGTTCATTCCTTCTGGGATTTTTAATTTAAAAAATGTTCAGTTGACTCTTTTAAAGATAGGGATTGTTTGTCTATTCAACAAACATTAGAGCAGATCCAAGAGTAAAACAATCTGTAAAATTGGGCATCTGGCCCCCAAAAAATCCCCTCTCAAATCGCTACACTGGTGTTGCTAAATCTAGCAGTTCTTGCCTAAGAATTTCCACAGGTGTTCATTTGCATGTATGAAATTCCTCCTGTAACATCAGTTTTTAAGCAAGTTGTGTCAGGTTTCAGGTCCAATTTGTGTTTTTTTGTTTTGTTTTGTTTTTTGGTACCAGGGATCGAACTTGGGTCCTTGCACTTGCGAGGCAGGCAGCGGAACCACTGAGCTAAACCCCTGGCCCTCAAGTCCATTTTGTGGACATTGGTTTCTGATTGTCCACACAAAAGAGAGAGTCATTTTTCAAAATTCCAAACCATTCCTACAGATTAAAAAATTAGAAAATAAGCAAAATTTAAAGAATGATCTGCTGATCCAAGCCCATACTTATGCATTGCCCTGGCTTATAAAACATCTTGAGCTTGGAATGTCGTTCAGTGGTAGGACACTTACTTAAGATGTGTGAAGTCCTGGGTTTGATTCCCAGCACTGCAAAGGAAAGAAAGAAAGAAAGAGAGAGAGAGAGAGAGAGAGAGAGAGAGAGAGAGAGAGAGAGAGAGAGAGAGAGATGAAAGAAAGAAAGAAAGAAAGAAAGAAAGAAAGAAAGAAAGAAAGAAAGAAAGGAAGGAAAGAGAAGAAAAATATCTTGTTTAATGTCCTTTCTTCAGCTGTCTTCCCCATGAAATTTATATGATATATTTATTATCCTGTTTTTCATTCCTGGGACAAAATGACTAATATAGAAAAGTTTAAGGAAAAAAATGATTCATTTTTAGATCACAGTTTCAAGATTTCAGTCCACGGTCTGCTGGCTCCAAACAGAAACATCACAGCAGAAGTACTCAGTGGAGAAAATCTGCCTATTTCAGAGCATCTGGGAAGCAGGGAGAGCAGGAAGAGTCCAAGAGGAAGGCACCAAGGACCTGATAGTCTCAAGGTCATGCGCCATGACCCACCCAGACACACCCAGAAGTGTGCTTTGCTAATCTCTGAGACATCTCTCATGTCAAATAAACTGATAATCAAGATTAACCATCACAGTATAATACTGATTGGAAACTCATCCTCAAAACCCTACTTGCATCATGTTTCCCCAAATTCTCAAATCCCATCCTTGCACCTGGCTTTTCAGGTTCCACTATAGAACATCCATTTGCTCTTAGGGTCACTGCTCCAACCTGTCACTCTTCCCTGATATGGCGCTTCATAGGCTTGTACTGAAGCATGGAGTCTGCAGTCCCTCACTCGACCTGCCTACCTCTAAACCCATTGCTCCAGATGTCCCTGAACCACAACTGTCATCCTACTCAGCTCCCACGCACATGCAAAGCTGATGTACAACTGTGCCTTGGTTCAGTTCCCTGCCTGGAATGTCTCCACCACCTCACTCCG